CTACCAAATAATAATAAAGGCTGTGAATGAAAGTTTGTTCAAACATAATGTAAAAATCCATCTCATTTTAATGCTTATAAGTTTCAATGCCTACAATATTTTAAAGAAATACCTTAAAGTTGCCTCCACTCTGACAGCGTAGCAGGTATGTCTGTTTCATTGTATCTGCCTTGTGAGGTCTTTGAATTCATTTGGGGAGAATAGAGAAATCAATCCCCAGAGGCCTCTTCCCATGCATTAAAATAGAAAATCCTATGGGATTACATTTATGTTTGCTCTCTAAATTATACCAAAAGCTCAGTTTTATTAAGTATAATCTGCTTAGCCATGCATAAAATAAAATACTTAGGTTTAGATGTGAATTTATATGCATTTATACTGATTTTCAATGAAAATATTTTTTTTCTACACACAGGCAAATATATTCTGCTTGGTATGTGTTAATATCATAAAAGGTAATATAATAACACTTTCATCAATGCTTTCTGAGGTCACATCATTATATTTATTAATAACAGCTTATAGTTTATATAAGATGGAGCTACTATGGATAGCACCAATATCTTGGTTCCATTATTTTAAATTATTAAGAAAATAGACCTTTATTGTGGGGAAACTTTACACATTTAGACATGGCAATAATTTAAAGTTACTTCAGACTCTGGATCTAGAAAAAACCTTATTGTCATTTTAATTGAGTTATAAAATACTTTATTTGAAATATTTATGTGTGAGAATGCAGAAGGGTTGCAGCCATATAAATGCAGAATTTCAGTTCCTTTTAGCCTAAAGCATCGTTTTAACATTTTCTGAAAGGTTGTTCAGTTCTACATTTTGATTCCATTATATGTGTAATTAAACCTCTGTGCACAAAAGCATTCTCTTATGTACTAGCAAATATACCCACAGGAATTCTCTTCTAAACTGTAATTTATTTAAACATGTAATCATAGGATTTTAAAACATGCTTTCATTTTTCCAAACTATATGCCAATTTGAACTGCTTTGAGATAAAATGAGAGATTTTTATTGCCATTTTGTTTTTTTTTTTTTTTCCTCTGTGACCTAACAGTGAGTTAAACATGGGCAGGAGGAAATAAAGAAAATCCATTGTGAACCAAATTCCATGTGTTGAATTGTTTCCGTTTTGGACAAAATAGGAAAAAAAAATAAAAGAGTTGTTGTTTATGAATTCCAAACAATATGAACATTTGGGCCTGCAGAATTTTCTCCTGGGGTTTAGTTAGCCAAAGTAGTAAATAGGGGTGTGTGTGTGTGTGTGTGTGTGTGTGTGTGTGTGTGTGTGTGTGAGCGCGCGTGCGTGTGCTTGTGTGAGAGTCTCTCGAACATTGTGGAGTCAGGCCCCCTACTGACAAGATCAGTCAATTGCAGACCTCGTCCTGGCTCCTGCAGTTTTGCCCCTTCAGAATCAAGTGTGTGTGGGGGGGAGGGGGGGGAACAGCGGTCTGAGGTTTTGAGCACGGCCCTTTTAAATTTTCCGATCTCTGCACTTGATTCTTACTACCTGGAGCATGTGCGACTCCGGCCCCAGACTCCAAGCCTAGAATAGTCTCAGTCAAGAATTAGTCTAAGCGAGTTTATGAGTCTTTCCTAAGTAGGGGTAACAAATCAGGAAGCCGAACATGAATTTGAAGAGAGGGACAACTCACACGGATGGAAAAGAAGTCTTCACTTTCTCTCATTTACGTGTTATCACTACTCTATTCTCACGTATTACTTTATGAAATTGCTATGACCGCTGCCTTTCGATCTTGGGTATCTCAAGACTTGAGCAAAGGCTCTTATCAGAGAACCACGAGTCGCACGTTGCTGTGCTTGTTCCGTAAGTGCTCAATACAAAAAAAAAAAAAACCTCCAGCCCCCCTTTTCTCTCTGGGAGGGCATTTTTCAAAATATTCCCAGACTCAACTCAACCCAAACTGAATGTTTTTAACGACCGAGGGAGAGGAGTGTGTGGATAGCAACACGTTTACTTAGCCACATTTGTGTAGGGAGGGCTGTGGTTGCGATCTTAAACTTCTCTTGGTACTCGCTCTCCTGGAACTGTATTAAAAAATAATAACTTCCACCCCAGTGTAGCTAAGCTTGGGTTTCCGACTGTCCGAAAATAGCTGCCGGGAACCTGGCCCACCGCGTGGATCAAGGAAAGCTCCCCCTGACCGCACCCTGCTCCCTCGCGGAAGGGGAAGGGAACCCGGGAGGGCGCCTGTGAGCTGGAGTTGCTGCTATTTTGGGCCCAGCCTGGCCGGTGCGTCAATGCCTGCGCCCCTGCGTCACCGCCACCACCACCCCCTTCCTTCTCCATTGCTCTCCAAACTCTCACTTTTTCCCTTTCGTTCGCGTGGAATCGCTTCTGCCCACGGGGCGCTGACGCTGCCGAGCTCACACTAATAAGCTGTTCTTCACCCTGCCCCCTCTTTCGCCCTCCCCCCCACTTCCTGGTTTTATTTTATTCTATTTCTTTTTCTCGCGCCCACTAGGGCACCGCTGAGCCGTAGCCGCAGCAGCTGGAGGGAGAGGCAGCCACAACATCTGGGGGAAACTTAAGGTGGTCACGTAGGTTTCCCCGAGGCTGCTGCACAGCGGAGCCCGCGGCTTGTCTGGGCAGCCGCAGGGCACCCGATGGCAACGCCTCAGCAGCCGCAGGCTCGCTCCGCACGGAGCCGGCAGAGGCGGAGGTGCAGGCTAGGAATGAGCAACCCCACAACCCTGAGAGTTCCTCGGTGCTCTCCGCCAGTGCCAGGATCACCGAGAGGGGGCCGAGTTGCACTTCGCACAGACCCCCTCCCCGGGTAGCTTGGGAGCGAGCCAACGCTCGGGAGGAGGGGAGGAGGAGCGCAGTCCTGGGCGGAGAAGGGGACCCTCCAAAGTCGCCCTCCCTTGGCCCCATTCCCTTCCTGGTCTTGGGAAAAACCCTAGGAAGTCTGCCGCCCAGCTTCGCTGGGGTATTGGGAGTAAGGCTCGCCCTCGGGAGGAGCGGCGATTCCTTTGCTAGAAAGATCCACGCGCTTGGCGGGTGGATGGTCTTGCAGAGCACAACGGGAGGCGACTCCGAGGACCGCGGTGGTAGGACACGCTCCCACAGCCCACGGACCCTGGGCTGAGGCAATGGGCACACACTTTCCGTTTTCCCCGAGGCGCCGCACGGCCCACCGTCGCCTCGGGCTCCACTCCCTTTGCCCAGCTTTTCCCACCATGCTTTCTTCTTGGTTTCGGGTACCACAGCCCTTGTGTTTCAGAAACCCGTGAGCGGGACAGGACAGGCTTGGTGGGCACAGCGCAAAGTCAACGCTGTTCAGAGCTGACCGAAGGGATGGATCAAGATCACCTTTCTGCTGGAGGCGCACCTGTTGCCCGACTCTGGTGCATTGTCTGCAAAAGAAATGCAGGCAGCAGTTCGCTCCTACTTGCGGGGTCCTCGAAGGCCTGGCTCAATGTCTACTCTCTCCTCTTCCACACTCCTTTAAGTATTCAAGCCTTTTAGTTTCAGGAAAGAGGGGGGAAAGAAAAGTGGGCGCTATCCCCCTTATATCTAGAAGGAGGATGGAAGACTGAGATAGAAAAAGGGAGAAGCGAATGCACGGACTAGTGAGAGTCCATCTATCGCCCAAGCCCCTGGAGAGCTACGAGTCACGGGACATTTGAATGCACTTCCGCTAAGGACTGTGTGGGGGTGATGTTGGGAAGCAGCAAAGCACACGTCTGCCCGTGCGGCCCAGGTGCCAGCTACCTGGCCCACGCCAGCGTTCTTTTCCATTCAAGCTTTTGTCGCACCCTCCCCACGTGTGAGGACTCAGGGCCTGGGGGCAGGTGAAGCATAGCATCACCGCGGGTTTCACGGACCTGGGTTGCAGAAGTCACACTTCTTTCGGAAAAAAAAAAATTAAGAAACCACCCGAGTGGGCTACCAAGGTGAACGCAGAACCGTTCCCACCTTAAAATCAGCCCCAGTCGTGACGTCAGGTCGGAAATATACCAAAGCGAGCGCGGGCCAGGAGTCCGGGGAGCGCGGCGGCTCGGCGATTGGACCGTGGGCCGCTGACGCGCGCTGACGCGCGCAGACTTTAGGTGCATGTTGGCAGCGGCAGACCGAGCCACATAAACAAAGGCACATTGGCGGCCAGGGCCAGTCCGCCCCGCGGCTCCGCACAGCTCCGCGTCCCTCTCGCCTGCCCCGCCGGCTGCCTGCCTCTTCTCCCGCCGGGCTGGCGGCGTGTGACTCCCCGCGCCCGGCTCCTGCACCGCTCCCGCGGATCCCGGAGCCCCGGCTCCGGGAGGGAACTGCACTTTGGCGGAGTTGAATGAATGAAGAGAGCAGAGAAGTGAGTAGGTGCGGCGATGCCGCCGGTGGTCTCGCGGTCTCCGGGTCTCCGCGGACCGGGGACAGGTTCTCTGCAAGTGGGCGCCAGAGCCGTGGAGTGCGAAAGGGCTGGGGAATGGCGAGTGGGCGCGCGCGGCTCCGCCGAGCCTTTGCTGAAACTTGGTCTGTGTAGCGTTAGGGGGGGAGTTGGCTGCCGGCAGAGACTTCCAGGCTTCTCATTGGTGGATGTGGAAGTGGGGGGGGGGGACTCCCATAGTTTTAGGAGATGCGGACTTGCCTTCGGAGATGTGTGCAAAGTTTGCTCTGGCTGTGAAATTTGAGTGTGGCTTGCTGGAGGTTCCAGATCTCGTGAACATGTGGGAAACAGTCCGGGAGAGAAAGTTTCTGCGTTGCTTGGGAACAGTGTCGCTCAGCTCGCCCGCGTGCGGATGTTTTCCCGGTACCGTCGTGTAAGGGTGGTGTCTGTAGAGTGTCCTGTTGCTAAGTTGCCTGAAATTTCTGGTTTTGATAAATGCTGTCCTTGGGTAATGTGGCAGAGTGTGTGCGTGAGGTAAAGAGTGCAGCTATGAAACCGTGACGCGTCTAGGGTTAATATCCAACACAGACATATTTCCAAGGGCGGCGGCGGCGGTTGGGGGGGGGGAGCAAGAGTCTTCTTTTTATTTTTTTTTTCTGGCTAACCTTCTCCACTCCTTGAAGCAAGATTATGGAAGAAGGGAGAGAGAGAGAGCAGAAGGAGCGGCTGTTGGGTTTCTTTATCGTTATTAACAAGTCTGTCTATGCTCTAGAGAGCCTTGCCAAGTGGGAACGTCTGAAAATTGCTAGGACACAAGAATGCCTTGTCCCAGCAAGTAGGCAGCCCATGGAAACATTGTGGAGAAGATGTTTAGCTTGCTGTGCTTCTAACTTTGGTGCCAATATTATATACGCAATATCCCCTTCCCTCTGCAGTTGACCCAAGATACTTCTGGTTAAAGTAGAGGTCTCTCTCATCACCTCTGGGCTATTAAAGGTGTTGAAAATCCAGTTCTCTGGAGAAACACCAATTCACTTGTACCCCCAAACCCCAGTGCTGGGTCAAAAGCAATTACAAAAGCATACACTTGCACTCAAATTGGCTTCTTGGTTGTCCAGGCCTTGTTAACATTTTCTAAGGGGAGGGTTTCTATTGTTTTTAAATTGTATTTTCTTGAATTCTACTAACTTTCTTTTCCCTTCTAAGAGAAAAGTCCGTTGGGCTACAAGAAAAAATATTTAAGAGAAGGCTTTGAAGCTGTGCTTTCTCTGTAGCTTAGTCTTCTAGTCAGGTTTGAAGTCAAGTAGGAAGAAAATAATGCTCTCGTCTATGGCAAAGGGACCAATTCATTATATTGTTAAGTATCAAGTAGGCTCATGGGATGACTTGCCTCTAGGATGCTTTCTCTGCAGGGATTTTTCACTGGGAGATGAGTGGCATTATCTGTTGTTTAGCCACGTCTCTGCATGTTCCTTTAAGCTGCTGTTTGGTAAAGGTCTTCACACTCATTCCTAAGGAGGCACTGAAGGGCCTGCCTGTGAGTCGCCTCTGCCCAGCCAAATCTCGGCGGGGAACCATCCTCAAACTTCCTGTGTCTGTATTTCAGGGAGATCTGACGGGCTGGATTCCCAATTGCTTTTGTAAAAATCTTGGAAACTTTGTCCTTCGTTGAATTACGACACTGTCCACCTTTAATTTCCTCGAAAACTCCAATAACTCGGCTGAAGGTTAGTGAGTTTTTTCTTTCATCACCTTTCCCGAGTCCCCCCAAATCTAGACAGGACAACGGGATCTTCTCAGGCCAGCTCTATGCCTTCTGGTCACAGAGAAGAACAGCCTTCTCATTGTGCAATTCAACTTCATGTCTAGACTGTGGATTCTAGAAACCCTGTCTACTTAAAGCTCAGCATAGAGGCTCCTCAGATTGGCTGTGGGAAGGGGTTGGAGTGGGGGAGCATTTGGAACCAGCCGGGAGTGTAGACCCTCGACAGCTTTCCAGCTCTGGGTCATTTGGGGGGGATCAAGTGCTTTCCTTTCTTCATCGCTGCTCTGACCTTTCCTGCCCTTCCCCTCGCATCCCTACCCTCCCCTCTGACACCGCGGGCTGCCGGTGTAGCTCCAGGTGTACCTGAGCCTGGAAGAAAGTGTTCCGTTGACCAGGCTGAGTGTGTATCACCCTGTTTCATTTCCAGCCATGCCTTGTGTTCAGGCGCAGTATGGGTCCTCGCCTCAAGGAGCCAGCCCCGCTTCTCAGAGCTACAGTTACCACTCTTCGGGAGAATACAGCTCCGATTTCTTAACTCCAGAGTTTGTCAAGTTTAGCATGGACCTCACCAACACTGAAATCACTGCCACCACTTCTCTCCCCAGCTTCAGTACCTTTATGGACAACTACAGCACAGGCTACGACGTCAAGCCACCTTGCTTGTACCAAATGCCCCTGTCCGGACAGCAGTCCTCCATTAAGGTGGAAGACATTCAGATGCACAACTACCAGCAGCACAGCCACCTGCCCCCTCAGTCCGAGGAGATGATGCCGCACTCCGGGTCGGTTTACTACAAGCCCTCCTCGCCCCCGACACCCAGCACCCCGGGCTTCCAGGTGCAGCATAGCCCGATGTGGGACGACCCCGGGTCTCTTCACAACTTCCATCAGAACTACGTGGCCACCACGCACATGATCGAGCAGAGGAAGACACCCGTCTCCCGCCTTTCACTCTTCTCCTTTAAGCAGTCGCCCCCGGGCACTCCTGTGTCGAGCTGCCAGATGCGCTTCGACGGGCCTCTGCACGTCCCCATGAACCCGGAGCCCGCGGGCAGCCACCACGTAGTGGATGGGCAGACCTTCGCCGTGCCCAACCCCATTCGCAAGCCGGCATCCATGGGCTTCCCGGGCCTGCAGATCGGCCACGCGTCGCAGTTGCTTGACTCGCAGGTGCCCTCGCCGCCGTCCCGGGGCTCTCCCTCCAACGAGGGTCTGTGCGCCGTCTGCGGCGACAACGCAGCCTGTCAGCACTACGGTGTTCGCACTTGTGAGGGCTGCAAAGGTTTCTTTAAGGTGAGCGAGACTGGGCGGAGGTGGCAGGTAGCGCTGACCTAGTACCTGAGACCCAGGAGTGTGCTCTCCCCTTCCGGTAGGCAGCCCAGCCCTAGTTCCTTGAAGCTACCCCACGGGCTGCGGAAGGGGCTTCGGGTGGTCTAAGGAAAGAAATAAGCAAGACTGGAAGAGTCAAGGTTTCACCCCGCCCCCCTCGCCCCTCAGCAACCTGCCGCCCCGGCGGGCTCCCGCCCGAAATTGCTGGAGCCAGAGTTGGAACAGGGCTATTTGCATGTGTTAGGCTCTGTCTTCCTCGTTCAGATTGAAATTGGTTAGGACAGAGAGCCGTGTCTGAGCTAACCAAGTGGAACAGAATTCCCTATGGTCAAATTAAGTGATCTCTTTATTTCGCCATCCTGATTGAATAATCTTATCATTTTAAATAGAGAAGGTCTCCAAGGGATGTAAATAATATGAATGCGCACGGATTTGTATTTACTGAGCGTCTCCTGCTCCTTCTCCTGGCATATAAAACACAGCAAGGAGCGGCAAGGTTAGCTCAAATGTTAACGCTATCAATTTTCTTCTGGTAAATGCCCTGGGGGAGGAAAAGGAAAGGAAATAGGAAGAAAAGAACAAGAAAAAAATTTTTTTAAAGGAGTAGTGTTTGTGTTTGTAGGGAAGGAATGCAGATCCAAGCCATTAAAAAATGTCTCCAGTTTAGTGGACTTTTAATTAAAAAATAATAATTTGTGGCCTACATTTCTCTCCCTCTGCAGCGCACGGTGCAAAAAAACGCGAAATACGTGTGTTTAGCAAATAAGAACTGCCCAGTGGACAAGCGCCGCCGAAATCGTTGTCAGTACTGTCGATTTCAGAAGTGCCTGGCTGTTGGGATGGTTAAAGAAGGTAGGTCGAGGCAAGCTGCTGATCTCTCCTACGTTCGGTGCTCTTGAAAGACCACCAGCTGCTTGTGGACCCTGGTCCCTGCCGCCTCCCCGCCCCCACACACACTCCAGGGTCCCACTGCCTAATGGCCCAGCCTTCTCTAAAGAAAGTCACAGGGCCCTCCTGGTCTTCGTCCCAGTTAGAAGAAAGTATAAAATACTTCCCTTCCTTTTTAAAATATATAAATTTAATGCTTCTCATCACCAAAGTCTTTACAAGCGAGAGGAGCCCTGGACCACGAGGTCTGGCTCCCACTGCGGCCTCCGAGGAGAGCCCTGTGAGACGGCTGAGTCTGGGCTCGAGGGACCGGCCTTAACCGGGCTATTCCTTTACAGTGGTTCGTACGGACAGTTTAAAAGGCCGGAGAGGTCGTTTACCCTCGAAGCCGAAGAGCCCACAGGATCCCTCTCCCCCCTCACCTCCGGTGAGCCTGATCAGTGCCCTCGTCAGAGCCCACGTTGACTCCAATCCGGCTATGACCAGCCTGGACTATTCCAGGGTAAGAAGCTAATGGGGGTTATCATGTGTACAAACCAACAGATGGGCAGGACCCTCTCCCTATACTCAACTTAAAGCCCCAGACTCAAGGGTAAAGGAGGCAGACCAGAATATCTGCTTCACAGCTCTCGGCAGGGTTCCGGAGCGCGACACTGAGGTGCAGAAGCTCAAGTGTAGATCTGAGAACTGGCCAGAGGGCTTGCATCTTTGCGAACCTCCATTGCCAGACAATCCTGAGCTCCGAAAGGCCCAGATGAGACTCTGTCTAACCTTCCTTCCCAGATCTACTTTACGCGAAGTTACAGGGATGCCCCCTCCCCCGCCCCCAGTGAAGACTGGGATTTGCTTGAGACCAGGAATGAAGAGAGGGCGGAAGGAATGACACGGGAAAGGGGGTGGTCTCGGGGTCAGGAATCAAGTGGGACTATTCCTCTTTTACTCCAGTTGTGAAAATGTGCAGGCTTTGGTTGGAGGGAGCATGGGCAAACCTAGTAGCGACGGCAGTATTATTAAGCGTTGCAAAGGGCGCCTCCGCTCAAGACCCACTCTGGGATTAGCATGAATACTACCGTGTCAATTGTTTTGTGGAGATAAGACTGAACGTTTCCCAGGGCTGGATGGCACTGTATTTAGTCTGTATGGAAATGGTAATTTACATATTTAAAGCGGCGACCTCAGAGCACCGTCCCTAATTGAATTAATTGCCCCGGAACATCTAATTTCCTTACTGGTCAGAGAGAGGTTTAATTGTTATAAAAACCTGGCTCCCCTACTAGAAACGGGGTTAGCAATTTCACGGGTTATATATTTTAGAGAACCTCATTAAGTGCTTTTTAAAATGAAATTCCAGTTCCAGGCAAACCCTGACTATCAGATGAGTGGAGATGACACCCAACACATCCAACAATTCTACGATCTCCTGACTGGCTCTATGGAGATCATCAGAGGTTGGGCCGAGAAGATCCCTGGCTTTGCTGACCTGCCCAAAGCTGATCAAGACCTGCTTTTTGAATCAGCTTTCTTAGAATTATTTGTTCTGCGATTAGCGTACAGGTAATGAGGGAGGCCTGGAGAGGACTGAGGAAGTACAGGAAAGGGAGGAAAAAAGGGCTGGGGGGGGGATTTTAAAAAAAAGGTGGGGAAGGGAAAGTGTGAGCCCAGAAGCCTTGGGTGAATGGAGTGGAGGTGGGCTAGAGGAGTTCTTGATTGTTATGAAATTAAACCCTTTCAAGGTCCACTGGTCTACATTTTATTAACTCTTCAGTAATTAGGTGCCTCTTAAATCCCTCATTTATTGCTCTTCAAGTAATTAGTTGTTTAGCTTCTCTCTCTCTCTTTTTTTCTCCCCTCTCTCTTTGGTATTAATTGCAGGTCCAACCCAGTGGAGGGTAAACTCATCTTTTGCAATGGGGTGGTCTTGCACAGGTTGCAATGCGTGCGTGGCTTTGGGGAATGGATTGATTCCATTGTTGAATTCTCCTCCAACTTGCAGAATATGAACATCGACATTTCTGCCTTCTCCTGCATTGCTGCCCTGGCTATGGTCACAGGTCAGTACTGCTGCTGCAGGGCACTTCCCCTTCAGAACTTTCTCTGGTGGGACCGGTCATGGCATTCCCAAATCACAGATTTTTCTCTGATTCTGCCAGCTGACTAACTCCCTATGCCTTCTTCTTTTGTTTCTGATTGCATTTTCTGCAGAGAGACACGGGCTCAAGGAACCTAAGAGAGTGGAAGAACTACAGAACAAAATTGTAAATTGTCTTAAAGACCACGTGACTTTCAATAACGGGGGCTTGAACCGACCCAACTATCTGTCCAAACTGTTGGGGAAGCTCCCAGAACTCCGCACCCTTTGCACACAGGGCCTCCAGCGCATTTTCTACCTAAAACTGGAAGACTTGGTACCGCCACCAGCAATAATTGACAAACTTTTCCTGGACACCTTACCTTTCTAAGATCTTCTCCCATGCACTTCAAAAGACCTGGAAAGAAAAACCATCCAGAGGGGGCTGGTCACATGGGCAGAGAGCTGGCTAAAAAGTCCAGTGTATGTCATCTCCCTCCTGTAGACCCCAAGCCCCCATCCCTACAGTAAACAACAACAAACAAACAAACAAACAAACAAACACTGTCGCTATTTCCTAACTTGCAGGCAGAACCTGAAAGGGCATTTTGGCTCCGGGGCATCCTGGATTTAGAAAAACGGACGCCACACAAAGCAGTGGTATAAACTTTTTATTATCAGTTCAAAATCAGTTTATTGTTCAGAAGAAAGATTGCTAATGTACGATGAGAAATGTTTGGCCATGCTTGCTTGTTGCAGTTAAGACACATGTTTTACACACACACACACACACACACACACACACACACACAAAGCCCTTAAGGGTACCCACATATTTTGCCCTTTACCATGACTTCAAAGTTTTCTGCTGTAAAGAAAGCTGTAATATATAGTAAAACTAAATGTTGCGTGGGTGGCATGAGTTGAAGAAGGCGGAGGCTTGTAAATTTATCCAATGCAGTTTGGCTTTTTAAATTATTTTGTGCCTATTTATGAATAAATATCGGAAATTCTAAAAAGTAAGTGTGTTTGCAAAAAAAAAAAAGAAAATAACTACATAAAAAAGGGACAAGCATGTGACTCTAGGTTGAAGATGTTATAGGCACTTGCTACTTCAGTAATGTCTATATTATATAAATAGTATTTCAGACACTATGTAGTCTGTTAGATTTTATAAAGATTGGTAGTTATCTGAGCTTAAACATTTTCTCAATTGTATAATAGGTGGGCACAAGTATCAATACATTGGCAAATCCTAACAAAAGGGACACATAGTGTTTGTAACACCGTCCAACATTCCTTGTTTGTAAGTGTTGTATGTATCGTTGATGTTGATAAAAGAAAGTTTATATCTTGATTATTTTGTTGTCTAAAGCTAAACAGAACTTGCATGCAGCAGCTTTTGACTGTTTCCAGAGTGCTTATAATATACATAACTCCCTGGAAATTACTGAGCACTTTGAATTTTTTTTTACGTCTAAAATTGTCAGTTAATATATTATTTTATGTTTGAGTAAGAATTTTAATATTGCCATATTCTGTAGTATTTTTCTTTGTATATTTCTAGTAAGGCACATGAGATGAGTCACTGCCTTTTTTTCTATGGTGTATGACAGTTAGAGACGCTGATTTTTTTTCTGATAAATTCTTTCTTTGAGAAAGGCAATTTTAATGTTTACAACAATAAACCACGTAAATGAACAGAACTTTGTCTTATTTCTGGTTCAGGAAAAACACAGTGACTGAACATCACATATAAGAAAGAGGAAAAGTGGAGATTGATTTGGGGTAGGTCACTTACATGACATCTGAATTTCAGGGTGAGAGCCTGGATCCATTGCGACTAAAGGAAGGGTATAATTGCACTACCTAGAGAACTCAATGTAATATTTTTCTTTCGCCCGACTTTTCCAGTCTGATGACCTACATTTATCAGAATGAATGTAGAACATCATACTCAAACATACATATGTTTTGAGAAAGCATAGCTTTCAAAAGGCAGGCTTTAGAAGCCAAAAAGCTTCTAAACTTTTCCAAGGTTGGGAATCTTTCAGAGTTCTGTGGACAGCCTTCAGGAAGTGTGTGCTTGAAACTTAGAAAGGCCACGCAGATTTGAAAAGACGTGTACTTTATCTTTGCTTTTGCAATTCCTGTGCACACTAGTGTGAGCGTGGGAGGGAGAGCTCAGGGTCCCTGCCCTAGGAGTCCTGAGTCAGCCTTCCCAGGCAGGCTCTGCAGACATTTCTTACACTATTTCCCTGCTTTGGCGGGTAGTAAGAGGTGTGATCTGCACTTTTAGAACAAGGTTCCCACCTTTTAAGTATTATGGATTTTAAACCAACCAACCAACCAACCAACCAACAAACAAACCTTTGTCATGGCTCCGATTTGGTTTAAGTCAAGTTTTAAGATGGGGCTCTAACCTTCCACCCTGAGTTGGGTCTCAGCCACCTATCCTTGGGCAGATGATAGTCCAGTTGTGCCCTAGGAGGGATGATCACGTTCGCTGACCCTGGCTAATTACAGGTGACCTCTAGGTCACTGAAATTTACAATAAAGTTATTGTTTTAGGAATGGATTGCCATAACAGTATATTGACAATAGAGCTGTCAGCACCCCCCCCCAAAAAAAAAACCCAAAACAATGTTTTGTGGGTTGGCAAAAAGAGACAAGGACAGTAGTCCCTTGTGGTAGTTTAAAGTTGATTTTACTTGGTGAGTTTCTCTCTGAGCAACGGAAGGGTAAAGAAGGACGGTTACATAGGTTATGAAACAATAAGGAAATGTCCAATTTCATAATATATATAAAGAAAACATCAGAAAAATGGATCTGACCTTTATATATAGTCACATCATTTTGAGTCAAAGCCCCAAACTCCTAAGTGGACAGAATGGGCTTTCCATTAGCGCTCTTCTCCCAGGTGTCTTTGGGGCCCCTAGACAATTACATTCCGTCGCAGAGTCCCTGAGAGGTAATCCCAGAAAGACCCCCAAGGTTGATTCTCCCTTAAGAAAGCCGCTGGGCATCACCGGAGGCCAATGGGGGCGACGGGATAGCGAGCCTCTGGAGAATTTAGAGTGAAAGGGGGACCGTGTTCTCGCACTCTACCGCGCTGGGTTATGAGTCCCAGTTCGCCTCCAGTATCCTTTCTGCTTTCGCAGTATTATTACAGCTCCGGGCTAACACTAGCTTACTTCTCCAGCGGCTTCAAAGGTTCTCGCCGCCTAAACTCTTTCCATCTTAGTTTTTCTTTCTAGGACTAAAGCTCAGGAAGACCCACAGCCTCCCTTCATTATCAAAGAGAAGTGTACGAACTTCTTCAGGAAGAGGTCGAGCTTTATGAAGAGGACTTCCTAGTCATCTCCGCTCCTCAGTGGTCCTTGAGTTTCATTTGTGGAATGCCACTTCAGCAATGCCAAAAAAAAAAAAAAAATACATGGTCTTTGTTCCAATGTCATGGCCATCCATACACTTCTCAGGTCTGAGAAAAGGGTCTGTTTTAAAATTTTCGCGGTCTCGTCCAACGTTGAGAGACTGCCCAGAGCACTCTGGCTTTTTCTTTTCTTTTCTTTTCTTTTCTTTTCTTTTCTTTTCTTTTCTTTTCTTTTTTGGAGAAATGGCCTTAATTTAAAGCAGGAACAGACCAGCGGTTCTACTGCCTGGTGTTCTCTGGCTCTAGGTACCGAACCCTCCCTCGCACGGACTTTTGGCTTCCTGAAACTGGTCAGAGGGCGGGTGCTTAGGAGGCGTGTGTGTGTGTGTGTGTGTGTGTGTGTGTGTGTGTGTGTGTATTGAATCACTGGTCCTGAATCTGATACAGAATTACGCCCGGGCCAGAGGAATAGCATCAAGCCACACCCACGGCACAGACCTTGTCTTGAGCACTTCTTTCGAGTACCAGGTTGAACTTCATCCCTAGGGGGCTTGGGGATCCTAAAAGTACCGGCTGTAAGTCTACGCAGCTGATTTGTGTACAGGGGGTCCAACAAAGACACAGATTTTCCTGACAATTTAAGAAAGCCACTTGAAGATTTAATTTCACGTTCAGTTAATAATCTATTGGTTTGGCTAGTGTCATTCCTCCTGTTCAGTTATCTAATTATCTTTTAAGCTAGAACATGCCCAGTGATGAAATACTTTGAGATACAAACAGTTGTGAATAAGCCAATGACCTCCAAATCCTTTGTAATATTTTGACCACAAAGTTCTCTTGTTATGGACATATTTTCATCTCCCTGAACCCTATCGTGGGTAGTAATACCAGAGCACTCCCAAGGAAGCGTGCCCTCATCTTTCAGCTACCAGCTCCGGGCGTCCCTCAGCTGTGCACACGCACCCCTTTCCCTATTTATCCGCCGTGCGGCGCCGAGGTGATTGTGGAGGGCAAGGGCAGAGGGTCTCTCCGGCGGGCCTCGTCTTCTTTGGCGGGATAGGCGTTTGCTTGCTTGGTTCCGAGTCCACCGCAAGAAGGGAGACAGGTTTCCCCCAGGCGAAAGGGGATGGGAGGGCACCTAGCCCGTAGGTTCAAAACTTTCTGCCAGTGCCCTTTTATCGGTTGAAGAGAGGTCTGGGGACAAGTGTCTTCTAATATAGTTTCTTGCGAAGGGGCTTCAGCTTCAAGGACTGAACCCCCTTCTTCCCGGCCTGGCCCGTGTCCCTGGTATGGGAGAGACTGTGAACTCTTGCTTTCTTGGCGCGCCTGGGAGTTTCTCAGCAACCCAAACTTTGCCGGCACCCGCGGGCCCGCAGTTGACTCAGTTTTGTAATCTCATTTTGAAGCTTCTCCGGTGGGGGCTTCCAGCAGTCGGCTGATCAGCCCCCGCACCGTCTCTGGTCTCAGCCACGACTCAAATAAAAGCATTTGGCTGCTAGACACGGGGAAAGAGTCTGCGTTTGACAGATCCGCCGCAGGAGCAATCACGTTTCACAGTGGTGAATTGAGTCGACACAAATTGACTTTATTGATAAAACAGTATAAGAATTCCAAAATAAGTCATCGTTTAAAAAAAATTAATTCGTTTTTTAATACTAAAGCAACACACGTAAATCCGTTTTTAACTTTTAAATTAGAATTCAAAGTTGACTGGTGGTGATGTAAAAATAATTTCCCCTTGAAATGTTCCCCGAGATGGGGGCCACAAGGTTTTTCGTGCGAGACCGAACCTTTCCTTAGGAAAAGTTCAACTTCTTTTGGGGGGCCTCCAGGAAGCGGTGGGCGGCGCGGCACCCCTCGCCTGCGCTAGGAGGATAGGAGCGCCTGGGTCCCCACCTGGAACGTGCGCTCTGGGCCCTGAAGATGCGCACAAGCCAACTAGGCGAAGCCGTGCTCTGGCCACTCAAACCCTTTTAGTACGCCGCGCTGTTTAGTAGGTCCTCCTTCTTACCTAGTGACGTCCAGGCGTTAGTACCACTGGACAGGACCTGTGTCTCAGCTCCCCTCCCCCAAGCCCTCCGGGAGAAGGTGAATTCGCAAACACTCTTGCTTTGCCTGGTGCATTTTGGTGACTGGTATGTTTTTCTGAAGGTTGCATCGGGAGATACTGCCAAGAATCTTGGACAATACGGGACATTTTCTGTTTCCTCCCGGTCCTTCTCTGCTTTCCCAGATATTCCCAGGTCTTTCTCAACTGTGCTACTACCACACAAAGTCGAGGTCGCCATAGGTTCTGGAATCACCTCGTGGCTAGGTTGGGTGCGTTAGAGTAAGAGCGGCCTTATACACTAGGCGCTTTCTCCTTGTACCCCCATCCGAGGTCAGTCTCCGGTGTCCCACAAGTTCAGAGCGTCCCCTCAAAACTCTTTGGAGAGGACATTTTGCCAGTGGTCCGGACTTACATAGGGGCGTAGTTGGAAAAGTTGTCTGCCTCCCCACGCGGGAGCGCATGTTGTATACTGGTGCCCACACCCCGAGGCAACAACGCGCGCGCGTCCGCGACCCCCTTTCGGGTTCCCTTACAACTTGCGGAAGGAGTCTAAGGCCATTGTGCCAGAGTGAAGGACTAGTCTGGTGGCAGGATCCGGGCAGTGCCTGGAGCGGCCTCGGGGCCGCTGGGAAGGTCATCCTCGAGGGAAGGAGGTCGGCAGCGGCGCGACCCAACTCTGCTCTTGTCTTAGCGTGGCTAGAACCCGCCTTTGCTGAAACCGGGCAGTGTTCTGCAAGTGCTGGCATCCACGGGAGGTCCTCGTACCTTCCCTCCGCTGGTCCTTCATTGTTCTTCCTTATTTCCTTCTCGACTTGTGTTTGGGGAAGAGTAGGATTTCCAAGCCACGTTCAACTTGTTTTTAGCAGAAATAATGCAAATACAGGCTTCTGTATGAGACTTCCGGAAGCAGAGGGTGGGTGGTGGGTGAGAACTTTGCAACAAAGCGAGGAACTTCCAGAGGGACTTGAGCCTGTTGAGACTTCATGGCTCTGGAAGCTTAAAGGAGAGGATTGTATCGACAACCTCAAATTAAATTGGAATTTTGATTAGAGTATGAGATTAGGAGTGAAAGGACTCTTCATCAGTAAGCAGCAAGTAAGATAGAGTTTTTGAAACAAAACCCTGGAAAGACTGGGGTTTGCAAAGTTATTATAATTTGCTATTAGGATTTTCTCCCGGGAGAAATGAAAAAGAAAGCATAGAAATTAAGAGTGCTTTTACAAGATAGGAACTATGAGACATCTAAGTATTGATTGCTGAA